GTAAGTGCGTGTGCGTGCGTAAGTGCGCGTGCGTGCATAAGTGCGCGTGTGTGCGTGCTATCTGCGCATGTGTACGTGCACGCCTGAGGGCGGGGAGGCTCTCCTGGAAGATTAGGTAAGAGACTTACCTCCTGAGCCACGTGGCTCCTGGGACACGGAGGCCGGCCCGTGTGCAAAAACACTTCAGGAGGCTGGCGAGGACTGGGCGTCCACCAGAGGGATCGACTCCTTCTGGGAATGGGCAGCCTGGCCGGGGGAACGTGCTGACGGAAGGTGCCCGCCAGTCGGGCATGTCTGGGGGACAAGGAGGTGGCAGAGAGTGGATTTGGAGGCGGCAGTGCTGTGTGATTTTGCAGAAGTTGCCCAACCTTTCTGTGCCTTTACTTCCCCACTCAGCTGGTTAGGACGGGGGTGATTCTAACACTTCTCTCATTCACGTGTCCACCATCAGGGTCCGGAGGGATGCACAGGGGCACTGGGCACTGCTCGTAGCTCCGAGCAAGGCTTGAAAAACAGCAGCCGGAAATAGCAACTCCGCTGCAAAGCCCTGCACCCCGCGTCTCACAGACAAGGTGGCGTCTAGGTTTGCTCTGACCACAGCCGCTGGGTTTGGACTCACTTGCCTTTAGGTGGCAGTGGCCAGCGCTGGGGCCACCTGAGGTCTGGCAGGGCCCCTGTGAGCCGGTGCAGGCCCTGGGGGAGGGGCTGACGCCAGGGCCAGCTCTGGGCACAGACCCGTCAGGACCTGGGAACTCATCAGGCGGAAACACTGCTCTTAGCGGGGCGGCTGCCACCGGGCTGCGGCAAGTGCTCAGACAGCCACCCCCGCAGGGACCCAATGTCCCTGAGCAGGATCGAGTTAGAGCAACCCGACAAGGTGACTGTCACCATCAAAGACCCCCTCTTCTTTCAAGGACGTGTGAGCCCAGAGTCGCGAGGGCTTCGCGGCAGGACGCCAACCGCCCTCCCTCCAGGATTAACTTTCTGGCCCAATCAGAGTCCAAAAGTGGAGCTGGAGCTGAAAATAAGTCTTTCTCTTGCAGCCCACACGGATGATGGAGTACGAGCTTTTCCCACCGGTTTCTGGCAGCCCCCGGGCCACGTGCGGGGTTGGGCCAGAGGAGAGCCCTCCCCACTGTGGCCTCTTAACAGAACACGCACCGCGAGGCCAGAGGATGGAGGCCCTGGAGGTGCCGGCGGGGCAGGGAGACGGCGGGCTGTGGGGCGCTGAGTCCTGTCCTGGCTTCCGATGGCAGAACTGTCACCTCCGGGGCTGCCTGTGAGTCCAGGAGACCCCACCAGCCCAGGCCCCAGCCGGCCACGCGTCCTGCCTGTCTCTGGCACAGCGAACCCCACCCCGCTCTGCCAGGGGCCGCGCTGCCTTGTGCGTCTCTCGTGACGGGGCACCGCGGCTGGGGTGTCTCCTCCACGGGGCTGCCACCCTGTGTTCTGCGGACGTACCCAAGTGTAAAGTCAGGGCGCTTTCTCTCCCCCCACGTAGAAGTGACTTGACGTCATTTTCCTGGTCGGGTAACCGGCGCGGCTCACCTGTGCCTCAGCCGCCCCCGTGGCCCACCCGTCACGCTCAGAGCTGCCCCCGCAATCTGGGTCTCCTCGGGTGCCAGACTCACTGAAGGTCGAGTGTTGAGTCCTGGGACCAGAGACGGGGCTGCCACGTCCCCCCGGCGTTCTGCCGGCCGCCACCCTGTCCCCAGCCCTTGCGCGGAGCTGGGCCGGGACACCCGCACAGACTCCTGCTCCCTGGCATTTGCCGCCACACAGCGGGGGCTCGCTCGCGCCCATCTTCCTGCGGCGCTGCCTGCTGGGGGGGCGGCCCCTGTCCTGAGCCAGCGAAGGGGGCCTTGGGGACGGGGGGGCAGCACTTGCGGGTTGCGGAACTTCCTCTCTGACTGCTACAGCCGGTGAGCGGGAGGCTTCGCTGCTGGGGGGACGGGGAAGGGCGGTGGGGGGGCAAAGTAACGGGGAAAGGCAGGGACAGGGACAGGAACCTCCAGGCAGAACCGAGGGGCCCCCGGGAGGCGTGTGGCATCGCAGGGAATTCGCGCGTTGCTGTCCTCCCCTGTCCTCCCCGCCTGTTTGGGGCGTCGCCCATGGGGGGCTGGGAAGCGGGCTCGGGGGCATCCAGAGAGCGCGCAAGGTGGGGGGCGGCAGCGGCTGGCGCTGGCCTGGCGGGAGGTGGCCGGGCGGCATGTGCCGAGCACCCCCAGCGTGGCGGGGCTCCCTTGATGTAGGTTCTGGGACCGTTTCAGTGAAGCTTGTGGCTCCACTTGTACGACTTCAACATCTTCTGCAGCTCACTGGACTCCTTTCTTGATTCTTTACATATTTCCAGGCCCCTTTAACGACGGCTTTTCAAAGTTTCGTTTTCCAGCGACGCGGACGGTAGATAAAAACACAGTAACGGCTCGTGTGCCGACTTTGCTCCCTAAACCCTGCTGCGGTCTCTTAATACTTCTAACAATTTATCTCTGGAAATTCTTTCGGATTTTATCTTTGAAAATTCTGTGGGATTTTCTGGAACACGATGACATCATCTACAAATAACGACAGTTTTGTCTCTTCCTGTCCTTGTTTTCCTCTCCTCCCCGGCTCCCAAGGCCGGGAACGGGGCGCCCTGACCTCACGGGGATGTCGGGGACCCGCTGCAGCTGCAGGGCTTTTGCGGAAGCCCGCGTCAGGGCGGGGAGCTCCCTTTCGTTTCTAGAATGCCAGCGGTCTTGTTAGAACATTTTGAATGGATGCGGAATTTTATCAAGAGCTGCTGCTGCTGAGATGATCACGTGATTTTTTCCTCCTTTAATCCGTCAGTGTGACGTTCTGAGGTCAAACCAAGCTGCACTCACGGGCTGAGCACGACGTGGTCATGGGGAAAATCTATAGGATTTAGCTTAGTACTGTAAATTATTATAATTAATAGAAGAGCTCAGCAAGGGTGCTGGATCCAAAATAAACGAGACCTGACTGTATTTCTAGCAGCAGTTGTTAGCGAACGATAGTCTCCGCGCATCGCTAGACTTGACTTGCTAACATTTTGCTTAGAATTTATCGATGTCTGAGTAAGACTGTGATTTTCTTTCTCTGTGATCTGTTCGGCTTCTGATGACAATGAAATGCTAGCCTCATAAAATGAGTTGGGGAACAACGTTCCATCTCTTTTCATTTTCTGGAAGAGTTTGTGAAGGAATGGAGTAATTTCCTCGAGCGTTTGGTAGAACATGCTTCATCGTAGATTTCTGCCTGTTTTTGAGTTCACCAATCCTCAGCTATGTCTAATCTGTTATTATACCTATGAACTGAATTCCTAATTTTGATTATTCTATTTTCTAGTTGTAGAACTACCATTCGGTACTTTAAAAAGTTGCAGTTCATTGTTTAAGCTCCCCTTTTATCTCTTTGAAAACTGCAAGCAGATGAGATTGGCGCATTGGGGCGGTGTGGCCGTGCGGGCACAATGTATACGATGTATATTCAGGCGTTGGATTCCCTAAAAGCCCCGACTTCACCACTGTACAATCTGTGCATGTAACAAAATTACACTTGCACCCCACAAATGTATCCAATTAAGAAATAAATAAGGCAAAACAAGGTAAACGCACACATGCTGTCTTGCAGAGTTACGGCTAAGCCTATGGGTTAACTCCGACATCTGGTGCTGCTGAGGGTGTCTCTATCGTCTATTGTGTCGCAGGTTTTCATTTGCGTTGCTTTCTCTTGTTTGCCTGATTGTGCCTTGGATGCTGTATTTGCAAAATTGCTCGTGGACGTAATTGGATGTTATCTTCCTCCTAGAGGATCAGTGTTTGCCTTTGCCTGGCAGCCGGGGACAGCAGCCACCCAAGACGTCAGTGACTGAGACAACGTGAATCCAAGAGGCCCAGGTGCGGCCCTCCCAGGATCCAACCCAAAGGGAAGGGGGGCCGGGGCCCGTGTCCCCTGCAGCCCTGGTCCCAGTGCCCGTCCATCTAGCTGCTGGGTCAGCAGCTGTCCCAGGAGGAAAGTGACCCCGAGGGCCACCCCAACTCCCAGGTGCTCTCTCCTCACGCGGACCCTTGACTAGGAACCCTGCACTCTTGCGCGAGCTTCCCTGAGATTCTAGGTTCATTGTGTACGTTTTAGCCCTTGCGGGAGGGCCGTGTGCACCACCAAGCGGACACCCCCATGCTGGGCCCTTTCCTTCCTTGCCTTCTTTGGGACTAATTTTTCTCACTGACTTCCCCTTTCACCAGTCTGGAGGCCGCATACTCTGGGTGTCGGCGCTTACGACTCAGTGGGCCAAACTCCATGTGTGCGTTTCCCGCCATCTTCCTGAACACCCCCCGCCCTGTGCTAGTTCTTCTTCTTTTTAAGCCCTGGGACACCTTCGGTCCCACAGTCGGGTTTCCGGGCTGCCCACACACGCACCTCTTCCTCTGCTCTTCCACCTGGATCACGTTCCTTCTGCCTCCTTCAAAACCCCTTTTGGTTCAGGCTGCTGGTGGCAAACTTTTGCCCTTTGTGTTTTTAAATTTCTTTAAATTGAAGGCTGAGACTGAAAACCGTGCAAATCATGGCACACCTCGCAAGTGGGGGTGCCAGAGCAAGGACCCCCATGCCGGCCTCCCAGAGCCCCGGCCCCTGCCCGACCCCATCGCCCCGTCCTCTGCGAGAAATTCCTGACCCAGCGATGACTTTGTTTATAAAATGGGCACAGACGGGACCGTGGTGTGTGCGAGTCGCCAGGCGCCCGTGGTGAGCGGCACCTGGGAGGAAAGGGCACTGGAGCCGCTGTGGCCATAAATACATTTTATTTCGTTAGAAACGCATAATTACAGTGTTCGGGAGCATTTGCCCCTAGAAAAGTAGGTCAGCAGTATCTCCATGAAAACCGCCCGCCGCCTTGCGGACACCTGTCTCGGCGGCACTGAGCAGAGCACGCGGCAAAGGCTTCTGCCACGCCACTGGTTTTGTTTTTTTTTTTCAATTTTCTTTTTTGTTATAAACACCATAGCAAATTAAAAAAGCTGTTTAAACAGAAAAATATCAGTTCTTGATTTCCCACATGTACTCCACACGCCTGGCACCGGGCCTCCCTCGTCCTCCAGACGCCAACGGTGGGACTCGAAAGAAACGGGGTCTTCCGGGCGGGCGCGGCGGTTGCTGTTACCTGTTTAGTTTATTAGGACCCTCCCCGGTGGAGGAGGTGGCTTTCGGACGCACTTAACAGAACGCGCGGTGGCCGCCCGTGCCGGAAGCCGTGACGACAGGGCGTGGGGGCCGGGCTGGCGGCTGGGGCCGGCGCTGGGCTCGGTGCAGTTCCGGACCGGGCGACGGCCGCCCTCACTGGATCTGGATGGCTCCGTGCTCGAGCTGCATCTCGGGCTGCAGGGTGGGCTGCAGGCTCTCGGCTGTCTGCGGGAGGAGAGAAAGGGCTTTTCTAGAAAAACCACCACTCCTGCACGGCCAGGCTTGTCACAAAACAGCCACGACTTCCGTGCACGGGGTGAGACTCACACACCAGAGCTCGGAGGAGCCCGGCAGGTCACGGGCATGAAACACCTGGGCCTCGGTGGCGCCGGCTGCTCTGGAAAACCCAGCCCCTCCCCCAGCACACGCACTGGGCCGCCCTGGCCGGCGCGGCAGCTGCTTCCGCTTTCCCGTCCCTGCCCGTGACTCACGGGAATGACCTGCGCGTAGCCAGCGTCACATCCTTAGCTGGACGCACCGGCCGGGATTTCCGTTACCGCCCTGCCGTCCCGTGAGCTGTCCCGTGCTCCGAAAAGCATTTTAGGGGAAGTGACTTTGCTTCCCTTAGAGACGTAAGTTCTAACCGGTGAGTTACAGATGTTCAAAGGACTTTGAACACACACTCACAGCTCTATTTTAAGACAAGTTAAAGGACAAGTATCTGATCTTGGAATAAGCTCCTGATGGCCCATCTCGCCATCTGGAACGCGCTGCGCCGCGTGCAGGCTCTGTGCAGACGCCGGGGCGCAGCCGCAGGGGTCTGCGGGGCCCCCGGAGAAGCGGCGGGAGAGGCGGGGGGGCCGGGGTTGGGGCGGCCGGGGGGGGAGTTGTTCCTTGGGGCGGTGGGCCTTGGTTGTTCCTGCCGGCGGTGGGTTGGGGGCTTCACTTGGGGGGCGGCGGGGGTTCGGGGGAGGGGGGCCCCCGTTCTTCCCGTTCCCAGGAACGGGCGGCTCTGGGGGAGGTCGGACAGGGCAGAACTTCGTTTTTGCCTCTGAGTTTGTAAACATTTCCACAAGACAGAGTAACTCAAGAATCTGCTGAAATCTGAAACTGGGCCAGGATCCACCTTCTCACCTTCGTGTTTTCAGACGCTTATAAAAAATAAGGTCCTCGAATGAGTGTCTGTGTGCGAGTCCTGCGCCCTTCGGTGGCAATTCCCAGGAGAGTCACCAACAGAAAGGCCCAAGCCAGGCGTGCGCGTCAGCAGCGGGGCCCGGGGCCTGGGCACGGCAGAGCACTCACCTGCGCCCCGGCCGTGGGGTCACTCACCGGCGCCAGCTGGACGTACTGGACCTGGATGTCACTGCCCTGGAGAGGCGACCCGTCCACTCCTGCCGCAGCGGGGTCCGAGGAGGCCACGGCGATCAGCTGGGCCCCCTGCAGCACCTGGGGGACAAAGCAGAGGCCACGTCAGCGGCACACAGACCGCTCCACACGGACACCAGCCCGGCAGGCACCGGAAAAGTGGCGGATGCCCTGTCATCTCCTGAACAAGCAGCAGGGAAACGGCCCAGGACCACACCGAGGACTGGGGTCCACCCTGACTCCCAGATCGTTTCAGAGTAACAGGGTCGGCAGTGCCCACCCTCCACCTGATCCACCCACCAGTGGTTAAAATGAGAAGAGGAGAGAGCGCATGCGTACACAACTGGGTTTCCAGGCGAGTTTAAAACTCAACACTAACACCTGCCTGGTACGTCTGTCCGGAAACCTCCAGGCCGCTGCGATGAGCGCGGCCGATAGCTGGGACCTGCGTCGATGGCACCGCGCACCCTCCCGGGGAGACCCTCGGGGCCCCAGAGCGCGCTGACCCCGCGCGGCACGCTGACAGGCTGAGAATAAACACACACACGAGCATTTCAGATAAAGTTGGCATCTTTCTGGGGAAAAAAAAACTGAAGGAAAATGATTCAGTGTTTTAATTATGTTTTTCAAGAATCCATCAGCAGAAACTTCTAGTTCCCTCCCTTGATTTATGGGGTAGGATTTTCTCATTTCTGCCTCAAAACTAAATTTTTCCAGGCAATGTGGCTCTGCTTTCACTAAAGCCCAGTTTAAACCGAAACTGAGAATTTTAGGAAAAAGTAGCAGGAGACTCTCGTTTCCAGGAGCAGAGGCCTCGGCGTCGCAGGCTTGGTTCAAGTGCTGGTTCCTTCTAGCACCTTCCGGCTGTGTGGGCCTGACCCAGGCCCCCACCCGATCCCCAGGCCCACGGCGCCCCAGGGGCAGAGCGGTGTCTGCTCGGAAAGCCAGCGGGGCGGCCCCTCTGCGGGTGCTGGGGGGCCCCGGGGCCAGGGGTGCCACGAGCGCTGGCTGCAGCCAAGGAGGGAAACGACACCAAACTCCTGAGTTTTGTCCAAAGGAGGATGATGCCGTCGCTAACGTGACCCCAGAGGTCAGCACGTCCCTAAGCGTCCACTTCCCGTTAGCGAGTTCCTCGGACAGTCCTGTGGTCCGTGGCGTTTACCGCGGGTTTGTAAAGCTGTGCGCGTCCTGTCGAGACCCCCGTACGAGGGGAGTGTTGTGCAAAGGAACGCTCTTCTCGGCATCCCCGCCTGACATCTCGTGGCTCTGAAAGTCCCTCCGTCCTGCCCGCCCCAGCCCCTCATGCTGCCCCTGCCACGGCAGGGGAGGCGCAGGCCGCTCTGCGCGGGGAGGAGGGAGGGGCCGAGGGGCCGCGCCACCGGGGACACCGTGGGACGGTGAGGACGGCTGCAGGACGGAAGTCTGGCCGACCCCAGGCCCTGTGAGGGGGACAGGCAGGGGGATGGCGCTACAGGCGCAGGGACGGTGAGTCGCAAGGGTGCAGGAGCCAGGAGCGTGGGCTGGAGGCCGGCAGGGCCCCGGCTGTGGGAGGGTCTGTGGTCTGGCCGTGCAGAAGCCACGTCCTCCGCCTGCACGTCAGCGGCTGGTGGCCCCGTCCACACCCCCGCAGGTTGAGGGTTCCGACTAAGCCTGGTCTCTTGCCCTCTCCTCCACCGCTTCAGCCCCAGTGAACACTTCCCATTTTGCCATCAGTTTTTTTTAACAAAATTGGCAGAAAATTCTCAACTGCTTTTCCTTTTGTGTCTTCACAGACCACCCGCAAGCGCGGTGCACGTTCTAGCTCCAACCAGCGAGCCAGGCAGTGACAGCCCAGCAGTGCCCACGTCCCCATCCCCAGGCCCTGGGCACACGTAGCTTTACGTGGGCGAAGGGACCTTGCGGTGTCACAAGACTGATGACCTGGGCTGGCCTGGTGGGCCCAGCGTCACCACAGGGGCCTTCGACAGCAGAGCCGCTTTCCCAGCGCAGGGGTCAGAGACGTGGGACGTGAGCAGGACCCCGTCCCCACCCACCCGTCGCTGGCTTTGGTGCCGGATGGGGCCAGAGGCAAGAAAAGGATTTTCCCCGGGAGGATCCGGAAGGAACTGCCCTGCCCACACCCTGACAGCCGCCCAGGGAGACCCAGTCTGGACTTCTGCCCCCCAGAACCGAGTGAGGTTGCAGTGTGCTATGTAAGCCACCAGGTCTGGGGTCCTTTGTTAGGGTTAGTGGCAGTGGCAGCCCAGCAACTGCCTGCAGCCACTCAGCCAGGTCCCCAAAAGGCTATTAAAACACGAAACTCCCAAATGGAACCAAAACAACAGAAGAAACACTTAGAAAACCTGGTGGACCTGGCGGTCCCTGCCTCCAGGCGCGGGAGGCCACCCTTTCCGTCTACACTGCGAGTCTCGGGATGGCGGAAAGGCATCGCAGGGGACAGATGCGGCTTCTGTCACTCAAGTCCCCCCACTGACTCTCCGGCATTGCACAGGCTCAGCCAATCAGACGTCTTGCGGCCAACACTGTGGGGGGCGAGCGGCCCCCAGAGGAGCTGAGGGAGGGGCTGTCCCAGCCCGGGGGCACCTCGGGCAGCATCCCGCCCACACCCGGGCACCAGGCCCCGCCCGGCACTGCCAGCTGTGCAGGCCTCTGCCGACGCCTCCCTCCGTGCCCCGCGAAAGCAAAACACATCCCGGGGGCCCCCCAGTGCAGGTCACGAGAAGCCACGCAGGGCCCCGGCCTGGGCTGCCTCTGCTCGGCAGACTCCCCGTGTGGAGGATCGTGAAGCGGTTGACCGCCAGCCCATCTCCAGGGCCTGCAGGAAGCGCGCCCAAACCTGACTCGTCTCGGGAGCAGCTGCCCACCCGTGGGGCAGAGAAGATTGTTTTTATTTATTTTTGGTGTGAAGAGCAAAAATATCAAAAGTCCGTTCGAGGTAACATGCCGAGTTTCCTGAAACTCGGGCAGACGGAGCTGACCTATCCGTTCTCCAGAACAAGAGCTGCTTTCTCAAACCCACGCGCTCTGCCAACGCCAGGGTGGGCGTTGGGAAGACGAAGCCTGCTGTGACCACGGGTGACCACGGGGCAGGAGAGGAGTGACACACGGGTCCTGCCCCAGATGTGCCCCACCCTCACCATCCACCCTCCCCGACGCGCCCCTCCAGCTCCCAGCACCTCTCAGCCTCCGACACCCCCACCCCCAGCCTTGCGCCTGCCACCTCTGAAGAGAGCCCACGCCCCGGCGCAGGGTGTCTGCTCGCGCTGACCCCCCCCGCGCCGTCCACCTGCACCAGGACACCCGCTGGGCAGGCCCCTGCCGAGGGCCAGGGCTCGGGGTCCTGCGCTGAGGCCTCACGGGGGGCAGTGGGCCCAGGGGTCCCCACCACGTGTGCTCTGCGGCCGAGTACCTGGAGGAGCAGGGGTGGGGCAGCTGCCACAGAAGGAAAGGGCCAGAGCGTGAGCACCGGAAACCAGGCGTCCTCAGGTGCCAACAACCACGTGCGGCTGACGCGCCTGCGCCCTTGCGCTGCAGCCCCACACCGCGCACTGGCGAGGCGGTGCCCGCCGCCTCCAGAGAGATGCTCCGAGACACACGTCCGTGCCGAGGAAGACTCGCCGCACCCTCAACAGAGCAAACCCCGTCACGTGTGACCTGGGGCCTCCCTGGTGACGGGCGTGTGCGGGAGGGAGATGCTCCCGGCTTCACTCCCAGCCCCGGCGGGTTCTGGCCGCACCGCCTCAGCCTGGGCCCGTGTACACGGCAGAGACCCTGACGGGACCCAAGAAGTAGAGCACACGTGTCCCTACCAGGCGGCTCCATGGCACCCAGAACCCCAAACGCCTTCCGCGGCGCAGAGCCGCTCCCCACGTGTGGCTTCGCGACTGTGGGGCTGAGGCCGGGCTGAGGCCAACGTTCTGCTGAAGACGGGGTGGGGGCCCTGTGGGGCGCGTGTCCTCCAGCACCTGGGAACGTGGCTGTGTTTGGAAACCGTCTGCAACATACGCCGCGGCCGCCCTGCACTCGGGAGGGCCCTGCCCGACGTCCTCCCAAGAAGAGGGAAACCCGAACACAGGCACACGGGGGAGAAGGCCGCGTGACGGCGGGGCGCGGGGTGGGGGCTGGGGCAACACAACCACAAGCCGAGGACCACCCAGACCACCGGAAGCAGCAGGAAGGATCCTCCCCTAGCGCCTTCTCAAGGGGCTACGCCCTGCTGACGCCTTTGGCCTTCTGGCCTCTGGAACTGCGAGAGAAAGAATTCCTGTTGCTTTTAAGCGCCCCTGTGGGGATCGATTTTTGGGGTCATAGCCCAGAAGCGGTCTTCCCACTTCCAGACGCGCGGATGGAACACAGTAACCCCGTGCCCTGCGGCTGCCTGGTCAGCATCTTTAGTTGCCAAAGCTTCCGGCCTTTGGCCTCCCGAAAACCCCCTGAGGCTCCTGTCTCTCGCGTGCGGCTCCCCCAGGCAGGTTCCAGGGCAGCCTGCTCCCGCCCTTTCAGGAGAACACGCAGGGGTCTTCTCCCAAACGCTTCCCGGACACCTGCCCACCCCTGCAGCTGCGAGAGCAGGTCTGCCTGGGCCAGCACGGCGGCCGCGAGCACAGCTGCAGGACCGTGAGGTTCTGGGACAGCACGGACGTCACTCGGACCTTGCGCTACTCACGTGGCTTAAAGCGGTCATCAAAGAGCTGCCACCGTGCAGGAGAACAGCCGAGGGCGTCTTAAATGCCAGACTCCAATTTCCAACTGAGAAGAACCAGCCCTTTGGACTGATTCCTAATTAACCTGACTTAGCTGCAGTTAATTAACTTCTAACGAACCAGACTCGCGTCTCCCGCCAGGGGCGTCCCGAGTCCCAGGGACGGGGGCAGCTCCAGCAGCTGCTCAGCCCCCAGACTCACGGGCCAGGGGCCGACCCGCCCTGCGGGCGCCACACAACCTCAGGGCGCCCTCGCTGTCTGGGGCGACGTCCCGGGAAACCCACCTTTAGGGAGGTGGGGGCTGCGGTGAGAAAGGCGTCCGGGGACTAAGTAGCCGGAAATACCTTCATCCCCAATCCCTTTTCTGCATCCACGGCA